TAGATATATGGATGGTGTAGCCGTTGGATCATCTTCTTGTAAAACCGGAAAACGAATCATTTAAAGATACAGTCAGCTATCTAACTTCTAACTTCCATTACATAAATAATACTTTCATGGTATTAGAAGCTCAACATGAAAAGGATACTTCACTAGATATGTTTGATAACATTCATCCATCCATCTATCAATTTTACACTTGAAGAAGAATAGAGTAATAGCATATCGATTCTATAAATCCTACTAACTAGAAGAACAGATGGAACATTCAGTAAACGGACCATATACTTATTTCTATATGGCGTTGTACCAGTCAAATATAAAAGTAATTTAGTAAAGGTCCTAGCTCATTATTCTGATGATATCATTATAGATGAATTGAATAATATTCATAACTTGCTTAGCAAGAATAGATATCCAATGTAATTGATCAAAGGAGCACATAAATGAAATGAAAAGAAGACTGAATAAGTCTACCGTTTTTTGAAGAAAGTACCGTTCTTGAAATTACAATTCTTAAATGATGCTACTGAAGAAAATTGTAACTAAAAAGTCAAGAAATGTTTTTGATAACCGCCCGACAATGGAGATTAACAATCAAGACAGGCTGGCTAAATTCATCACATTCATATGTATTTATCAGTTCAACTACTCCTGTAGAGCCGATTATATAGGGCGTACAATTCGGGCAGTCCCTCATTGCATAGTGTAACATCATCAACCATGCTTGAGTAAAGAACAGGCAAAAGTTATCAAGAGTTCCATTTTCTCTCACTTAGTGGACATCAATTTCATTTGAATGAGGCTTTTAAGGTCATCCACCATAAATCGACAAAATTACCGTATGGTTTACGATTTCATCTGTTGTATATTGTTGAAGCTATTGAAATCTCTATTCAAAAACATGTACTTGCTTCGGTGGTACATATACTAAAACTAGAACGATACAGAGGAGATTAGCATGGCTCCTGCTCAAGGAGGACACGCGAAATCGTGGTACGGCCAAGAGTGGGGAGAGTCAACTCTCCCTCTCCAAATGCTCTCACATGACCACGTGGGTACATACAAACACTCCAAAGGAAGTCCTACTTACTGCCTTCACGCACCACGGGTGTTGTTTACGAAATTGGGTGGACCAAAAACGAATGTTTGGCGCTTTAACCGGGTCGGTGGACACGGAGAGCCCACCTAGGGGAGTTGGAAAACCCTGATTCCAAACCAATGGTGTACATGGGCTCCAGTATCCTGAGGGAACATATGGCGTATGAACCCATGGTTGGTCACCGGCTACCATGGGACTACATCTTACATTGCTCCATTGCCTTGTGGATCAGACCTTTAGGTTGAAGGCCCCGGGTTTCGCCCCTTAAGAAAACCACCTGATTCGGTTTGGGAAACCGAGCAGTATCCCAGCCAACGTATATATTTGTTTATGTGTTTAAATAAATAAATAAACATTATGCCAGTAAATATTTACGACATTAGATTTCCAAAAGTTTCATTAAGAAGGTGTGATAGGTGACATCAACCAACTGAATTATAAGTAGGTAATCTGAAGTTACGTCACACGTAATAAGAGTTGAAAATTCTGTAATGGATTCTAATATGGTCTTGTGGATAGGCATCACTGAGTAAAGATTGTTTGTCGTTAGTATACGGAGTTTGTGGAGGTTTTCAATTTTTAAAGTTTACATTACGGATTAACCTTAATCAAGCAACTATTGATGACCGTAAACAACTAGGCAGATGTTTTGCTCTAGTATGGACGTTTCAACATATTTCATCTACAACTCTATCAGGGATCGAACCCGTAAATTGATAGTAACTATATGTTCACTAGTGACTTGTTTCGAAAGGTAACTTACGTAGTTCTAGTGAGTAATTATGGTCAGTTGAGCCTAACAATTTCAAATGTGAGGTGGTAATCCACCAGTGGTAATGAAAAATGGTTAAGCGATATAGTAAATTCCTTGAACTTGTAATAATAGACCAGTAGGTCCTAACTCCGTAACCTAAAGGTTAAAGTTTAGTAGCAAGACCTGAAAGTTTTGGGTTAAGAATCCAATGGAACTGTGAATGCACACTACCACTGAGAAGTTCAATTCTACAACGAAACATATTTAGATTCCTTCCTTATTTTCTGACTATATTCAGTTCACGATTTCAATATAATTTGTCAAATAAAATTAGGGCAATATAATGGTGGATAGGACATACATTGAGGAAATCATCAAACTGCATCAGGAGACAAGCGCTAACTTGGAATCCTGAAGGGAAGCGGAAAAGAGGAAGGCCAAAGAACACATTACGTCGGGAAATAGAAACAGATATGAAAATGATGAATAAGAACTGGAAAGAGCTTGAAAGGATTGCCCAGGACAGGGTTGGATGGAGAATGCTGGTGAGCGGCCTATGCTCCTTCACGAGGAGTAACAAGCGTAAGTAAGTAAGTAATATAATGGTGTTTAAATTCATAATCTAAGCTTTGTGTTTAGCTATTGTCTGAGGCTTCAACTAAGACATACATTTGCAAAAGAGTATACTTGAATTAGGAAATCGAGGGTAAGTAAAAAGCTTTTATTGGTTAACCAAGCAGAAATTAGCAGTACAAGACATTTATAAATATATTCACCAGTGGAGTTCAAGTCGTTTCAGGTGTCAGATGGTTATCCATCACAGGCAATCGACTAGGGTTGTGAGATATCGTGGATTGAATGATGTTAGACATGAACACCATTTGATGCCTACTCAGTGGACTAAGTTTTAAGCGTTCATACGCAAGATCGGAGGTCGGGGATCCAATTCCTACATGCGGGATCGTAAATTCGTGTTGCTGAGGTGTCCAATACTACGATGAAACAGCTACACAGTGCTTCTAGATTTTGAATGTTGCTTTAGCCAAGATAATGAGGTGATTTAAATTACTCAAAGTCTGTAAACTCCCAAAATCCCCTATACTAATATATCTGCCTCCTAGTATATGACTCCCCAGCAGTTCATATCCACAAGCTCTCACATGAGACTCGAACCCAGGACTTTCGGTCTCATTCGCAAACACTTAACCTCAAGACCACTGTTTCTCTTAGATAGTTGGTTACATTTTCTACCCATAGTATATTTATGTCTTTTCAGAAAAAGAATTCAAATCTTAACTATTGGTGTGTCTTTGTCCGAATCACCTAGTTGTCAATTTACCTAAGGCTGCTTTGTCCAGCTTCTTACTAAGATAGTTTTATCGACTTGATATAGACGTGATATAATCTAAGAGGGCTTAATAAGAAGAATCCTTTACATGAACAGCACTAACACACCACAATAATACTCGCTTCACTGAATACCCTTCAAAATAATATTTGGGCATCTACTAATGTAAAGTAACATAAATCGGATTTTATCGATCAAGCGGGAATGTGGCCATAGTTCAATACCGCATGCTCTGTTGAAAAGTTATAATTATAAATAAGTTAAGACAAGTAAACACAAGTTTTTAAACAGTGACTAGTTACCATTCATATTCATTTTCAAATGTTTACGAACGGTCCCACTATGGTGTATGCTACTTATATTTGCAGATATAAGTAATATGTAACATCAGTCGAAAGTGAAATATCTGTGGGCAAAAAGTTGAGAAGATTAAAATGAAGAGAAGAGAAGAGGAAACTGAAAACAATCAAGATACCAATAGAAATGAAGGAACAGAGAAGGTTGTAAAAACAACATCGAAGAAGATATGTAAATGATGTGTATTCACTACACCGTTACCATGATATCTACTCTCATGGACAAATATATTTAATCCATAAATTCTGCTGTAGTTATCTCCTTGTTTCCTTACATAATAAAGAATGAGCAGGAAATTATACGAATCATTTTGATCGAGTTTTGTTCCCTAAGATGAAGTTTTCATGAAATCTTCTTGATTCTTTTGAATATCAAAATCTTCACAACCAAACAAACAATACAGCTCATTGAACTAAACTCCACTAAAATCATTCAACCTTAATCACAAATCTTCTGCACCATCTTAAGCATACAAATCAGCACAATAGTGATACAAAAACGGGTAATGATTAACATGTAGTTAAATCATTAGAACTTCAGAGAACTGCCTAAATCGCTGAACTAATTACCATCGTAACTATTCGCATATTTTAACAATTTGTTTCTAATATGTAACCAACTACAATATTCACTTACTCACTTATATAGAATGACTCTAATGTATTACCATGAAGAAAAGATACTATAGTCTTTCAATGTAGATACCATAATGGTGGGTCATACATATTAATACGAATAACAGTTCATCAAGTGTTCAATTTTGAAACCTTTAACTAAAATGTTTAGTCTCTAATTTAAAAAATATGTTTACCTTCAATCAACATTGTGACTATATGTATATCGTACAGATGAATTTGCGAGTCTATCTTAGCTAGGCCATCACGGAAAACTTTCGAGCACTGGATGACCGTTTCGTCTTAGTATGGGACTCTTTAAAAGTGCACTTCCATGATTCGAAATTAAGACCATCTGTTTCGTAATCGTAGACTTAACCTCTTATCTAATGAACTGGCATCTAAATGTGTTAATTTCTAACTTCAATCGATCCATAATCTTGCGCAACCTCTCATCCATTGTCTGAGTTAAATAACTGTTTCTACCTAGTACAACTTATACTCCACCGGTTATAACTTCTTACTAGAACTTTAGGAAATCCATCTTGAATCTAGTCACTAGTGAGCATATAATTATTATCAGAATAAGGATTCGTAGAGATTGTAGTATTTTCACAAGTGATCGTAGATGTGCACTATGGAAGATCCCCTAACTAAGACAAAACGACCTTCCAGTAATCTCAGCTTCTTAATAATGATCTAACATCGATCAATTCATGATCTCAATCAATAACTTAACAATCTTCATAACCCCATACTGATAAATGAAATCTATTTACAAAGAAATAAAAAGTAGGATAGACTATGTACTTTTATTTACCTTACCTGGAAATTTACGTGATCCAGATTTTACAAATCGAAATGATCCATTCGATCGAGGACTTGATGATCGGATAAAATGATCATTATTATTATTATTATTTAAATCAGATTGTATTATTATTCGACTACCAGAATTCATATTTTTTACATTCTCTTTATGTATAATGGTAATATTATCTGTATTAGATTTTGTATCATTTACACTATGAGTTACATTAGATAATGGTGATATTGTTGTCGCTACTGGTGTTCTCGCCGCTACTGCTGCTGCTGATGCTGCTGTTACTGTCGCTGTTGTTGTTGAATTACTATTCATAGTACTACTACTACTACTACTACTAATTACTTTATGATTTTTTATTTTAGATTGTCTCATCCATGCTGGTGCATCAAATAATAAATAATCCACTACTGGTGATGATGATTCCATAGATTGTCTATTTGTAATTATTGGTGATAATCTAGATCCTAAATCATTATTATGAATAGTACGTTTAGTATAGATTTCAATAGTATTATCATTTACATTATTAATATTAGTATTTCCAATATCTTTTGATGATACAATTCTAGGATGAGTTGAAGTAAACAATGGTGTTGATGATAATACTGATGGAATAGTTTCTTTAAAATAACTTCGTGTATAACCATCTTGATCAATAATTGGAAATGTTGATTTAGTTGTTATGGTTGGAGTTGTTGTGGAATTCATTAAATGACTTGTATATAATTTACTTTCCATTCTACTTGCTTGACTAACCATTTATCATATAAATGTATATATATATATATATGTGTAATTAATTATTCATTAAATAGTAATGATACTAATACTTGTCATTCATTATGAATAAAAGAATTGATCATCATTATCATTATGATGTTGATGATGTACATGATCAGTAATACATCTCTATATATTTTTACATCTACATACATTTGCATAGTTACTAATTGTAATGTTTACAATAGTAGTAGTAATATTAGTAGTATTAGTAGTAGTAGTAGTATTAGTAGTATAAATTGATACTGTAAATACAATCAAGATTTAAAATTACGTAATCCACAATGTTAAAATTAATGAAATGTGAAATGAGATTTATTCATTAAATTATATTTCAATAATAACAATAATAATAATAATAAGTAGTATTTCTTTTTTATCATCCAAATAGAATTAATGAATTGTCATTATATATTATCAAGTGATTAGATGTTAGATTCAGTAATACAATCAAATGAGTACGCTTATATACATACACACATACACACACACAGAGAGAAAGATCTATCCAACTATCTATATACACATACACACACACACAAACACAAACTTTAAACAACAACAAAAAAAGAATTTAGTATCTATGATCATCAGATGATGTTATAGGTCTATAGTTATATACACACACACACGCACACACACAGACTTCACAAACTTCAGTTTATGATATCGATAATCTTGAACTCATAGTGGTTTTTGTCGTTGTTGTTGGTGGTGGTGGTGCTGGTGGTGGTGGTGGTGGTGATGTTGTTTTCGGGTCTTTAAAACTACACACAATCATAATATTCTAATTGGTTATTAGTTACCCAATGTAATAGATTGTATTTGTATGTTTGTCCCGAAATTCTTTTCTCTTTTTATCTCTTCTATTACTTACTGATCATGTGAGTGATATTCAGTAATAAGGTAATTATTAATAGAACAAAATTATAACATAAAAAGAGTACAATGTACTTTTAAATAGTGGTAAAATTACCACCCTTGCATACACACACACACACACGCATACACATAGGCAAGCATACCTGTACAAAAAGTGTCATTCATCTGTTTTCTCTACGAAGAAAAAAAAAACAAAAATAAAGAAACTTATTCTAACAATTTTCGTAACTATTAATAGATTAATGTTAGTACTTTATTACATTACACCCACAGATAGTTGATACCATCACATTTATTGATTGATTGATTGATTGATTAATCGATTAAAGTAATTTGCACTAATAAATCAATAATGTTAATAAAATGCAGTTTAAAAAGTAATGAACATTATGATTAATTAATAAGCCTGTTACTCCTTTGGAAGGAGCATAGGACACCCCCACAAGCATTCTCCATTCAAACATGTCCTCAACAATCCTTTCATCCTTTTCATATCTGATTCTATTTTCTAATGTAATATGTTCTTTGGTCATCCTCTTTTCTGTTTCTCCTTACGATTCGAAATTAGGGTTTGCCTTGTTATGCAATTTGATGATTTCCATAATATATATCCTATCCACTTCTAACGTCTTTTCCTAATTTCCTGTTCAGTTGGAATTTGGTTTGTTCTCTCTCATAGAAGGCTGTTGCTGATGGTATCCGGCCAATGGATGTTGTGTATCATGCTTAGACAGCTATTTATAAATCCTTGTACCTTCTTGATGATCGTTGTAGTAGTTCAGCTCCGTACAGTAAAACTGTGTTGACGTTCGTAATGAAGATTGTAACTTTGATATTGTTTGACAGATAGGTGTTTTCAGTTCCATATTTTCTTCGATTGAAGGAATGTTGTCCTTGCTTTACCAATCCTAGCCTTTACATCTGCATTTGATCCTCCTTGTTCATCGATAATGCTTTCCATGTACGTGAAAGATTCCACATCTTCCAGAGCTTCCCCATCAAATGTGATTAGGTAGGTGTTCTCCATGTTGTATTTGAAGATCTTAGATTTTTCCTTTGTGTATGTTGAGGCCTACTGATGCAGAGTTTGCTGATTCAATAGTTGTGTTCATCTGCATTTGTTCGCGTGTATCGGATAGGAGGCCTGAGGTATCTGCGAAGTCCAAATTGTCTAATTGGTTCTAATTGTATATGTGTTACTTATAAATCTTATGACTTGCTCAACACATTCTACTAATTTGATCATCCTATGGTATTTTAAGCGCCCATTGTTTTGCTTATGAATTAAGGTAGTCCCAAAAATCAATGGGAAGATTCAAGTAAACAATACCAAGTGTATATAGTGAAGCGGTTCATTTATCCCAATCCTTTAACGGAGTTTTTTTCTTTCAACCTGACCCTGTACATTAAAGCGCTAATATGAATATAGATATACATATTCAATGTTCAATTGTGTCTTGTTTATAAACAAACCATGTTCATTTCTACCATTTGATTACGTAACTTGTCTCATTCACATGAATCTTAAATTTAATCAATTCATTGATTGACAAATAGATCGGACTAATTTATGTGGGTTACATAATGCATTTGTGATATTAATCTTTCTGCTTCATAGTAGTAATAGTAACAGTTAGCAAATTGGTATACATGTAAATGGGTGTATGTATTCATTGCCAAGTAACAACAAAAATGCAAATTATTGTCTGATTTATCGATTGAGTGGACAGGAGGTACTTACAGATAGATAGATAGATAGATAGATAGATAGATAGATAGATAGATAGATAGATAGATAGATAGATAGATAGATAGATAGATAGATAGATAGATAGATAGATAGATAGATAATGAAGGACTAGTTTTCTGAAAGGCCTTATTTCTTAACAAATTCACTGAAGCAAAATCTTATTCTTGCTCATTGAATGTGGTCCATTAATGAAGTATATTCGGATGATACTAGACCGTTCCTTGATTCTCTGATTGATATCATGAAAAGTATCCTGTAAATATGTGAAATTTTTTCATTAAAACATCTTAGCAAATATACTGTCACTGTTAAAAAGGTATAAGTTTACACATCGTATTATTTACTTACTTACTTAATTATGCATGTTACCGCTCATGGAGGAGCATAGGCCTCTCACCACCATTCTTCATCCAATTCTGTTCTTGTCAATCCCTTCCAGTTGATATTCATTCATTTCTTGTCTGTTTCCTTTCCTCCTACAGGATTTAAAGTTAACGCCTGCTTCGTGATGCAGTCTGAAGATTTCCTCAATGTATGTCCTATCCACTTCCAACGTCTTTTTCTAATTTCCTCTTCATTTGGAAGTTGGTTTGTTCCTTTACATAGTACTCTGTTGTTGATGGTATTCGGTATATTGTGTAGACAATTGTTTATAAATACTTGTATTTCTTTGGTAAGGGTTGTGGTATTTCTCGAAGTTCCATCTCCACATAATAGAACTATGTTGACGTTCATATTGAAGATTTTGACATTGATATCTTTTAAGAGACATTTGTTTTGAGTTGCATATGTTTTTCAACTGTACAAATATTGTCATTGCTTTGTAAATTCTCACTTTTACGTCCGCATCAGATCCTCCACTCTGCCTGTAGCTCTTCTAGGGCTACTGCTGGTCCTAAGCACAGGTAAAGGAAGAAGGTTGAGTATAGGTTCGGTAACCACATCCCGTAGAAAAAAACCTTGCTAAAAAAAAATGGTAACCAGAATAAACAAATTAAATCGTATTATTTAATCACAATAGAATTATATGTACAGAGCGTGTAGACGTCACTATGAATAAGTTACCATGTGACGTTATAAATTCCAATTCATTATACGTTGTCAATTACCTTGTGGATACGATGATTCAGATATATATATATCTATGGATGTTGTATTACTTAACGTGATGTAATAATCTTGGCATAGAGTATAGCCAAAATGATATTAGGAATGAAATTAGAACAGAGTATCACATAATAAATAACCCTATAGCAACAGTTCTAATTACCAATATAGGATTATAGAGATTATTCCATTTTACTGATATCACGAACCAGTTTAAAGTAGACAACTAGTTGACACTTGAAAACAAAGGATAACTGTTTCGTCCTAACATTGGGACTCATCAGTAATACATGTTCACATATCTCCAATCAGGAATCGAACCCAGGATTTTAATTTTGGGAAAAGTGTAATTTATATAAATGACTGTATTCACAATACAATTATAAAACTTTATATAAGTTCGATTTAATAATCAAATTGATTATTACATGAGTTGAGATATATCAGTAGTATATACTATTCATGATGGTACATTTAATCAAGTCGACTAAGTTTAGGCTTCAAAATAGTCATAACACTGATTAATGTTTTGGTTTAATACCTAACAAATCAGACTTCATAGCTTGAATTAGATTAGGCTATACTCCTAAAATGAATCTCTTCAAGTTTCATTCGTAAGTTATGACCTGTAGAGTTAGTATTATCTAATGATTTGTCATTGGACACTTGTATAGTTGTATACTGTTGTGCCACGAATCAATTGGTTAGTAACTGAATGATTAAATGGTAGAATACTTACCATAAAAAAATAAATATCCCAAGTTCCCTCCTATATTGAGATAGAAGTTATGTGGTGTATGCTACTTATGTTGACAGATATAAGTAGTATATAACACCAATCAAAAGTTGGATACCTGTTAAAAGAAGGTTAAAAAGATTGAACTATAGAAAACAGAATGGAATTCTGAATTGAAAGAATCATGAACAATATAAAGGACAATTGATGGATGATGTGCAAATAAAGTACTCAATGTATACGTTTTATAATTTACCAAGGAACTTTGGAATTTACCAGGGAATAATAAATTCAGTTATCCCCAACTGAGTACTCGTTCACAAATACCAATGGCATTAATCTGAAGAATTCAAAACTGTGCTTATTTCTAGTTAATGAAAGCATTTAGCTGAATACAAAATAATTTGGCAATTCTTAAATCATGGATTACACCTATTATAATCTTAATTAGACTAGTTTATGTTATGACTTGTTTAAGAGATGCTTATGTTAAGTTTGATTACGAAAGTCAAAAAGCTTTTATTTCACCAGTCAATTTAATTTTCATAACTCAGATCATCAAGTGACCTTAGTTGGACCAAAACAGGTTAGGTTCGTGGGGGAATTCTCAAAGTTCTAGTGAGAAGCCGTGGTCGGTGCAGTTAATCCGTGTCGGGTAGAGATAGGTATCTATCTCAGTACAATGAAATATGGTCGCGCAATTTCGTGGATTGGTTGAGGTTAGACACTAACAACGTTGGATAACAACTCAGTGGTTCATAGGTTAGGGTTCGGATCCCGCGATACGGGGTCGTGGATGCACACTGCAGAAGATTCCCACAATAGGAAGAAATGGCCGTCCAGTGCTTCCAGGTTTTCAATGTTAATCTAATATCAATCGATTCATGATCTCAATCACAAAACTGAAAACTTAGAAGGACTAGATGATCTTTTTTCTCAACATCCATGACCCCGATACAGGCAGTCGAACACGTGACCTTCGATCGCGCTCTCTAACCGTTAACTACTAAACCATTAAACCGGAATCCAATGTTGTACATGTATAACGGTGGATATCTTAAACAAAATTTACTAATAGTAATTTAAGAGATCAGAATTGAAAATATGAAAACGTAAATTTTGGTTGAAGATCAAAAGTCAAATCTTATGTGAACAGATAGTTACATACTACCAGGAAATCTCAAAAACTTCTATTAGGTATATACTCAAATTAGAGATTATTTGAGATCACCGATCACAAGAGGTCGAAAGACCTGAGTTCGACTTACTGTGGTGTGGTTGTGTGTTCGCACATTACGACGAAACAGCCATCTAGTGTTTTAAAGTTTCTAACTGTGGCCTAGCAATGATTAGTTTATGATGTAAACTGCATTTACACAAATCCCTATTCACAAATAACAACTTATTTCAATAGATCAGATTGCTTACATATTTCTGTGGATATTATAATAATTTTAATAGTTGAGATAATGAGTCAATGATGAATGTCTCGTTCAATTTCGTGGATTAGTTGAAATTAAACATTAACACCGTTGGATGATTGCTCAGTGGTCTAGAAATTAAGCGTTTGCGCACAAGACAGAAAACTTTGGGTTCTAATCCCGAGAGCTGGATCGTGGATGAACATTGCTGAAGAGTCCCACAGTGGGACGAAATGGTTCTCTGGTGTTTTCACGTTTTCCATAGTGATCTAGCTTTCATTAATTCATAATCTCAACTCTTAAAATGATTATTTATTGATCAGAAAAGTTCAAAACAACAAAAACTTGGAATATTTTTTTTTGTTTTCTTCTACTCTATTTTTGTAGTGTCATTTAAGATGATCTATGAAAGAGAGAGAGAGAGAGACAGAGACAGAGAGAACAAAAAGAAGTTTTTTGGCAATGATATTTAATGAAAAGAATGAAATTTTTTTTAAAAAAAAAAAGAGAACTATGATTACATTCCATCAAAATGGATTTCGATTATTTAGTTAATTCATATCTTTTCTGGTCCTTAATTACATAAACATTAGAATACATCAACCAAACACCCACGTATCCATACCCACATATACGCACGCACGCACACACACACACACGTACACACACACCCACAACACAAACATACCTCAATTATATACATCTATATATATATATATTACAGAAACTTTGTAACACTTACTGTTTTCACTATCCTGTATATAAAATACCAAACGTATTGCTGATTGACTTTGTTGATTTATTGTTAACGTGATAAATATGCATAGGTTTATCCAAATGAAATATTGACCTATATATAATACTACTTGGCTCGAAGAAATGGAAAAAAAGAGCGCGCGCGAGAGAGAGCGAGAGAGAGAGCGAGTGCAAACCCTTTTTACGTAAACATCTTGAACATTGCCAGTTAGTTACTACATGCACACACACATACACACACATATATATATATACATATGATAAATTATGCACAAATGAAATATTTCAGAAAGGTATAATAAAACAAAACAAAACAAAACAACAATGGATAGAGTTATTGACCTTGACATTAGAAATGCAACATGCTAAATCAAGGCTGAAAAAGTGAATGTGAACCATGCAATGTTTATTGTCTATTTATTCTGTTGTGAGATAGTAACTCACTGAAGACAATGGTGAATGTGTTGCTCAATTTCGTGGATTAGTTGAAGCTAGACATTAACACCGTTTGATACCGGCTCAGTGGTCTAGTGGTTAAATGATCACGTGCGAAACCAGCAGGACGTGGGTTCGAATCTCACAGAGGACGAGATCGTGGACGAGCACTGCTGAGGAGTCCCACAATAGGGTGAAACGGCCGTCCAGTGCATCCAGGTTTTCCATGGTGGTCTAGCTTCAACTGACTCATGATCTTAACCATTGATATTTATTCTTTGTCTATATTCTGTGAACTGATAATATCAGATCAGATTCTATTCTTCTTATTACCAATAATTTGTGGTAGTCACTCTTATGATTATACTAATAACTTACCTGCAATACGTGCACCACATGGTTGACCTTCATTCCTATTCATTTGAATAATAAGAAAACATTGAATTATCAGTATAGAGTTATGAAGATTGTTAAGATTTTGATTGAGACCATGAATTGATAGATGTTAGACGACTAGTGAAAATATCATGGATTGGTTCAAGTTAGACATTAACATAGTTGAATCTCGGCTTAATGGTCTAAAAGTTAAGCATTTGCTCATGAGATCGATGGTCCTGGGTTAGAGTCCCACATGTGGAATCATGGATGCATACTGCTAAAGAGTCCTACATTAGGACGAAACCGATGTCAAATGGTTATCTAACATTTCTCGATTCATTATCTCAATCAAAAACATTTCGAAATTATGAACAAAGTTACATAAAAAAGGGACATATTCACATAATTGATTACAGTTGGATCAATATAATAATTATTAGAAGGAAACGTTGAAATATAATAGATCCCAATGAACATCAAGTTATTCTAGGAAACTGAGAACTACCGAGTTAATAAATCAATCAATCAGGTAATAAAGATGATCACTTGATTGACTGAATATAAAATGCAAACTACGGCATCTCAATTCGTTAGCCTAAAGAAATAGCTCTTTCTATGAAGCTGGGATTCTAGTTATGATGGGTTCTTGTTTACAAACTATTTGGATCAAACAGTCATCCAGTGACCCCCTGTTTTCACTAATAGAATAAATGTACACCAACAAAATGATAACTGAAGTTAAGATTAGTTTCCAACCGGTGATTTTTATATTACCAGTACTATTAAGAAATACGATTAAAAGCCTAACTTTATTGTTCAAAATGATTACTAACAATAACTACAATTGATTGATCACTGAGTGGTGATCAGTGTCAGGCGTTTCAGGTCCTATCGACTGTGAAGCTGGATGACAGAGGATCAAATCTATTAGGGAGTATCAGTTCTCTCAAGATTACAAGTACACCTTGCTGATGAGTGTCAAATAGCACAAAACCCAGATCCAACGTTTCCTATTGACTACCTTCAACCACCATCTTATCTTAACATAGATTACTAATGTTGAGAACGTTAGATCTCCAGAACTCACTTGGAAAAGGTCCTAATTTTCTAATTTTATTCTGAAAATTTGAATTTTATGTTTTCGCGCCAAGAGATGCTTAATTGATCTACAGCTTACATTTCCCACTCGGAAATTCTTGACTATCACTGGTTGACGGATTTTTCTAGTACGCTATTTTATGGCTCTCCCAATAGGTGTTTCTATCATTGTATAAATAAGCTTGATTTGTGTGCTTAATGACCTCGTATTTTTTAGGTGCTTGTAGAATACATTCTCTACGCCTCAGCAAGACTTCTTGATCTAGTTAGAAAGACTGGGGACAACGGATTAGAATAGCCTATCGTGTCACTGTATCTTTGATGTTCGTTTCGTTTACCGAGTATGGTGAACTCGTAATCGCATTCAAGCATATCAACTAACAATATCACTTCTAAAACTCATATCCTGGAAACATATCGAATATAGAATTTGTCTAAAACATTGAGAAAGTAACATCCTTCCATAACAACTTATGTCTATAGAGAAATCTTTCGTATTGAAGAACTCTTCCCATACTTCATTTCCAATGTGTATTGAAATGATCTACAGTTTAAATATTTCTACAAGGACAGGCGTAAATACCGTAGTTTCACGATAAGACTCAGTTGTTAAGATACCTTAAACTCTAGTTCCGTATCAGTAGTGGTATAGTGAACGGAAACATACAATTGAGGACAAAATTACAGAACATCTTAGTAATTAGTTCATTTTCAAAGTGTCAATCAATCGTCTCAAACTTGACTGTTCCTTCATTTTTACACCAATCACTCACTATTCCCGCTCTGTTCTCTTTGAACTTCTTAACCTTCTATTGCTAGGTATATCACTTTCTATTGATAACGCATACTACTTATATCTATCGATATCTTTAGCACACACTACAGAAGTAGTTATACAGAGATATTTTAATAATCCCAACAAAGAATAACATTTGCGAGCTTCTAGTCGATATAGATATGTCTGGTTAAGTTGCCTAATAGTACGTCCAGTATAGCGATCTCCGTAAGAACAGCTAAATGTATAGATACGCATAGGAAGTAAACTCAAGTAACTTACCCATTGGTTGAATAGATATTATTGATCGATCAGAAAATATCAACTGAAGATTATCAATAATTTATGATACAGGATATTGGTAGTTACATCCCCGTTGAATTGTAGTTTTAAAAAAAGAAGTTTCATGTAAGTCAACTATATCACCAGTACCTTTTTATCTTCCCTTTGTACGTATATACTTCATTGAAAAAAATCTTTAAGAGTAAACCATATTCGTCAACATCTGATAAGTAAACTTCAACTCATTCATTATGATCTTGTCTGATCAGATCGTTTTTGTTCTGTTTGTAAGAAATCTGATCAGATTTCTTTTATAACAGATGAGCTTAAAACTGTAGAAATAGATATATTTATAATAACATGACCCAAAATGCCCAGGTACAGACGAGGATGGGGAGAGTTAACTGTCCGTCTGCAAATGCTATCACATAGCCACGCTTATACAGTCACTGCTAGGGAAGTCTTACTCACTGCCTTCTAACACTACGGGTGTTGTTTGTGAAATGAAGAGGACGAAAAGTGAATATCTAGCAGATGCTTTAAACAGGTTAATGAATATGAAGGATTCATCCAGAGGAGTTGGAAAGCCCTCATTCCAAGCGAATGGTGTACATGACCTTCAGGATCCTGAGGGAACAAATGGTGTATGAAGTTATTATTGATCACCCACTGCCTTGGGACTGCATCTCCTGACGCTACTCCACTACCTTATGGATTCGACCTTCAGGTCGAAGGCTCGTGGAATGTCCCCCCCCGTAAGAGAATCATCTGCTTCGATCTGGGTACCCGGTCAGTATCATAGCCCATACATAAATCCACTGATTTGTGTTCAAATAAACAAATAAATTATAGTAACTTACTTTTTCAAACTATATGTAGTCCAAAATCCATCATTTAAATATTGGCTAGAACCTGATTTTAATGTTTGTTTTAATGTAGTTGAATGAGTTAAATTTTGATCACCAGTTAAACTTCTTGATCGTTTTAATTGTTGTAATTCACGTTGTGTATTTAATAATTCATTTTGTAATTTTTGTTCACGTTCAGTTATTCCTGTATTATGAATTGAATAGCCTGATAAATGTGGTAAACTACCTTGACGATTATCTACTGATAGTAGATCTACTCTTGATGCACCAGCTGATGGCTTTATAAAACAAAAAACAAAAAACATACAAGATTGTAATTGATATTTCTAATTGAATAATAAGCTTTTTGATTGAGATCATGAACTGATTGATGTTAGACTGCTATTGAAAACCTGGAAGCACTGGTGAGAAGTCGTGATCAGTGGAGCTAATCTGTGTCGGGTAGAAACAGGTGTCTACTTCAGTACAATGGAAGATGGTCGCGCAACTTCGTGGATTGGTTGAGATTAGACATTAACACCATTGGATGCCGGCTCAGTGGTCCAGTAGGTTAAGCGTATACGCGCGAAACTGAAGCCCCTGGTTTCGAATCCCGCTAGTGAGGCATCGTGGATGCGCACTGCTGGGGAGCCCCAAAATTGGACGAAACGGCTATCCGGTGCTTCCAGGTTTTCAATGTTGGTCTAACATCAATCGGTTCATGATCTTAATCAAAAACTTGACAATCTCCACAACTCCTAAACTGAATAATAAGCTATTGAGGTTTATAAAATTGATGATTTGGAATGATGAATATTCAGATCATATAGAGGAAATCAACTCAATTGTTTGAAGTAATCTTGTTGCCAAACTTCTACTGTCTATTCATCTAGGGTTACTTCATATAAGAACATCATAGGGAAATTATAATTAATGGATGACCTTCGAGTGACACTAAAGTGACCTTGAGAATGTCCACCTGCTTACTGGGGTTATAAACCAATACGAAGAATTAGAATGATGATTTACAGTTGATAATTAGGGGTTAGGAATTAGATTTAGCGTTTCCCATCACCGACTGACATCAACAATAGTGCCAAAACTCTATTTAACTAAATGGATGAATGAATTTCGCGCCAAAATCCAAGATCTATTCTTGCAAATTTGATTGGTTCATTCATAAATTATAGTCACACTGAACAACATAATCATAATGAAGCCAACACTAAATATGTCCAGCTCAATGTATAACCTCGACTGATATAGGACTAGATTCGAATGAATAGATTAAGATATTGCATCAGTCAATGAAATTATTCATTACTAGTCTGAGAAGATGTCGAAACCTTTACATATATGGCCAGCATGATTGATTAGCACTATGGATTTGATGCACATGTGAAGGCGTGGATAGGCAAAATAAGGGCGGCAAATTTACCACATTTGCAACTCAAAACGACTGTTTGTCAACTAACACCAATGTCAGGATTTTTAATACAAATGTCAAGACTTCTACTGTATGAAGTGGAAACTTGGAGAACTACCCAAGCTATCATCCAGAAGATACAAGTGTTTCTTAACAATTGTCTACAAAAAATACTTCGGATCTGTTGACCAGACACTATCAGCAACAACCTAGTATGGACGAATAAATCAGGAAGAAGCGGATGTGAAACGGATGGGGCACATATTGAGGAAATTATCCAACTGCGTCACAAAGCAAGCCCCCACTTGGAATCCTCAAGGCCAAATAAGAAGAGGAAGATGAAAGAACACATTACTTCGAGAAACGGAGACAGACATGATACGAATGAATAAGAATTGGATAAAAGTAGAACGAAAGGCCTAGGACAGAGAATTTTTTGGTTGGCAACCTATGCTCCATTGGGAGTAACAGGAGTAAGTAATTAAGTCTGAGATATGTTAGAAAGCTCAATACTAGTAATCAATTGTCAAAAACTTTGGATATGGAATAAAATACATTTTATTGATTTATCTACATTCATTCCGTCTATCTCTATTTATCTTCCATTAAATCTTCCATGGATTATCATTTCTAACTTCTCCTTCAATTATATGTTTCGTTATCGATGAATCTGGTTTTCTACCTCCCACGTTCATCGGATCATTTGATACACATTGATTTTGAAGTCATCTAGGCACATGTTCAATGACCCTAGATTGTATTGTTCAATTACTCTTCCCTATGTATGTATGTCCACGCAAACATGTAAATTGGTAAATGCAATGAGGTGTGACGTAATCATTTGTGCATTGTCTAGGTCTATTTGGAATTATGGGCGTAGACCTTTCAATCACAACTAATTGAGCAGCATAATAGGTTTTCTCTCTAGCTGCTTTCAATCTCTGTCTTAAAACTATATTATTGGATTCACTTCTATATGGTAGATGGATATAACCGTTTTTGTTTGGAACGGAATAAACAAAAGGTCTTGGTATGAACTGACTTTTGCACCTATTAATTAAACTTTAGTGGATAACCATTTGATATTAATGTGTCAGTCAGTAACTTTTCATCTTTTTTTCACCGTGTCAGAAGTAAAAATTCTTTGAATCGTCTTAAAGAGACATTTAACCATGCCTCGCTTGTATTACAATGAACAGAAACTATGGGAACTTAAGTATTGCTCCGTTCAAGTTGGTTTCTTATACATTGACCGTTTTATAGTGCCATCCTACTTTCGACTTAAAAGTATGTCTAAAAAGATCAATTAGTCATTAATTTCTACTTTATATATCATTACAATATCGTCTTCAACCCTATTGAGGTAATCTAATAACCTGTAAACATCAAAATCTTTATTACGTATAGTTAGAATATCATCCATGTATCTTCTGTATAAAGTTGACTCATTAATGAGCTCGCTCGTCATATTTTTCACATATGACATAAATACATCAGCTAAGGGAAGTCCAAAATGGCTACTACTTCAGTAAAATTTTCGTCTTGCAAACTCTTCATTTTAGAAATAGTTTTACATTCAGAGCTTCTGATCTTGTTCATTTCTTTTCATTATACTTATATGAGATGTGACAAATCGAACTGAAGTAGACTCATAACAAACTATACATCTTTAAAGACTCCAACTCCTGATCATAATTAATATACTGACAGAAGGAGCTTTGTGGAGATTTTAGTAATTTCAGTAGTTGAAATCATGAGTCAATCGAAGCTAGACCACCATGGAAAACCCGGAAGCACTGGACGGCAGTTTCGTCCTTGGTTGAAGTTAGATATTAACACTGTTGGATGCCCACCGGCTCAATAGTCTAATGCTTAGGCGCTCGCGTGCGAGACTGATAGGTCCTGGATTCGAATCTCACGAGAGAGCGGGATCGTGAATGAGCTGAGGAGTCCCATGCTGGGCCGAAACGGTCGTCCAATACTTCCAGGTTTTCCATAGTGGTCTACCTTCAATTGACTTATGATTTCAACCATTGAAATTTTTATACTGACCCCCAACCATTTAATCACCATCCACCAAATAACCTCACCTTCTATTATATCTACATTTCAAACAAACAACATTACATCATCAAATAAAGTAAAATATTTTACAATTATACATGAATAAGCTGAGAGTTTCTATGACTAAAGGAGACTGTAGATAAGCGTAAAAACCAGTTCCAACGTTTACTATATTTGTTCCATTATAACAATAACTCATTTGTAATGTCACCAAGTCAATTACAACGTAAAACCTGGTACATATTTACACCAATTCAAGTTGTCATTAGCTTATTCACATAAACAGATGATACTGTTAAGGTAAATCTCATAACAGTATAGATAGTAACAGAATTAATGGTAATAGAAAGTATTTGGCATCTAAAATATAATTAGAGACTAAATGAATCAATGAAATAATAAAATAGATTTATATAGAGTTTAGAAACTTAAAATATAATCACAGACAAATAGTGAATACACGTGAGGTATTATCACGTGGAGCCCAATCAGGTAGTCTACACTTATTAAAATGATTCAATCTAATTGTAAATGATTTCATAGATGAATGTTGTATTAGAGTTTGACCATCCTTGGTTTTATTACATCTTACCCCTACTCAACCTTAAGCATATTCGTTTTGTTATAATAATAACCACTACTGAAGAATCCCATACTGGGACGAAACGACCGTCCAGTGCTTCAAGGTTTTCCTTGGTGGTCTAGCTTCAATCGACTCATGAATTCAACCATTAAATTACTATCATATGCTTACTAGTGACGGTCTCCATAAGGTATTTCCTGGAGTTCTAGTGAGAAGCCGTGACCAGTGAAGTTCAAATGGGTCTATTGTGAGATAGTAACTCACTGGACGGTGGCGCAACTTTGTGAATTGGTTGAAGTTAGACATTAACGCCGTCGGATGTCGACTGGTTCAGTAGTCTAGAGCTTAAGCGTTCGCGTGCGAGACTGATAGCTCGTGGGTTCATATCTCTCATGACGGGATCGTAGATGTGCACTGCTGAGGTAGTATCACAATAAGATGACACGGCCATCCAGTGCTTTCAAGTTTTCCATAGTACTCTAGCTTCAATTAGCTCATGAATTCACCCATTAAATCACTTTTATATTGTTGAGTAAACATACTACACATATAAGTCAATTATGAAAATCATTTAAACTCACTGTATGCTTAACTACCATTTCAATTGGATCATGATGTTTTTTAATATGTTGTCTTGTTAAAGTAGTAGCATATCGTCCAGCACTTGTTCCTCTCCATAATCCTTGTGTACCAGTTGTTTGCATTGATGACCAACGTGATATATGTGTATGTGATGGTGAATGATTTGATATATTATGTGATGCAGTTGTTTTATAATATGGTTGTTGATTTGATTGATTATGATAACGTGTAGATATTGAATTATCAGAGTATTCATTTAAACGTCTAGTTTCAGAGTATGTACGACTACGAAATGCATTGTGAACATGATGATTATGAACTAATAATAGATAATAATAATAATGAATGAATGAATGAATGAATGAATTCAGTAGATGATACATTTATTTTCATAAGTGATAATTTAAACAACTATGTGGAAAGTAAAGATGGGTGGTGGCTAGCAGTGGAATCGAGAACAAGCGATTCGTCCGTTTTATTTTGGGACTCGTCACCTGGATATATCTGCATTCTAGAGTTGAGTAAAAGCAAGTGGTTATCAGGACTCAGTAGCTAAGTGGATAAAACGATGGAGTTTGAAGCGAAGAGTACAGGGTTTGACTTCCGGAGTGAACATCTACTCTGGAATACAGACACATACAGCTCAAGAGTCTCAAATAAGACGAAACGCACAACCTTCTATTATTAGTCTAAGTGTTAACACAAATCAGCTCTAAATAAGCATAGAAATTTGCAAAACGAATATGAAGTTCGAATAAAATGAGGATATAGAAGGTACTGAATGGAAATAGATAGACGTTTACACGTGAATATATGATACTTGCTTGTATAGAAGTAGATTGAAAGAGAGTGTAAAGAGGCTTAAACGAAGATGTGACATCACTCTATGAAGTCATTATCCATTGAACTGAGCCTTGTTAGTAGGTTCAGATCATTTAGGCGGATCACGAGCAATTGTTGTAACTAATGGTTGAATATATTTAATGACGTGGTTGATAGTCTATCCCAATGATGCAGATATATTCACTCTTTACCCCACCTCCATAGATTTTGTGATTTCACAAAATCATTCTTTCTTCCTCAATTCTATGATCAATACCTAATGTTTTTTATACCACTGATACACATACAGTTCCTACTATTCCCTTCCTTCATTTTGCCCCCAAATTCCCTGGTACGGTCGACAGTGGGGAGAATCTGCTCTCCCTCTCGAAATGTTCTCACGTGGCTGTGCGTATATAGCCTCTGCCAGGGAAGTCCTACTCACTGCCTTCTCGTACCACGGGTGTTGTTGTTTACGAAAATGAGAGGACGAAAAGCGAATGTCTGGCGCTTTAACCGGACCCAAAACCAGTGGTGCACATGGGCTGGCTCCAGTATCCTGATGAAACAAATGACGCATGAACCAATGGTTGGTCACCGGCTACCATGGGACTGCATCTCCTTACGATGCTCTACTGTCTTGTGGGTCAGACGTTCAGTTCGAAGGCTCGGGGTGCGGTCTCCTAAGTAAACCACCTGCTTCGGCTTGGGCACTCGGGCAGTATCACAGCCCTCACACAAATCAATTGAGATTTGTGTAGCGCATTTATATTTGTTGCCTCCTTGTACCAATATCCATGTGTTAAAATAAATAAAATAAATAAATATTAATCCCTCATCCCTTTGTAGTGATATGATGTTGAAACGTGAACGGATGAACATTCATGCTATGACCTACCTTGCTAAAGAGTCCCATGTAAGGACGAAACAATCGTCCAATCCTCCCAGGTTATCAATAATGATTTAACATTAATCAATTTATGATCTCAATCAAATAAAAATCAATTGAATTTTTTAAAATAAAATCAATATTTGGGACTCGTCAGCTGGATGTACCTTCATCTCAGAGTTGTTGTTCACTCTGGGACTCGAACCCAATACCATTCGCTTTAAACGCCATCGTGTTATCCACTCAGTAGCTAGCCATTATCCATCATTGCTTACTAAAAAATGAAAGGTACTTTTTCACAACGATTAACATTACAATTTAGAATATTCAAATATATTTCATAAATATTATTCCATTTAATAAAATGGCTTACTTTCTGAACGTGAATCCCATGCACCACTATCTGATTGACGTCGTTTAAAACGTTCACTTGTTATATTATCACCAAGATAATAACGTGATCCAGGAATGAATTGACCACTACGACTAATATTACCTAATCGTGCAGTATGTCGTTGATCCATTGGTCCATGGACATTACCACCACTATCCACATCTATATGTATTATATTAACATTAGTTATAATATCGATAATTATGATTGAATCTCATATATATATTTTACAATGAAAATCTTTTGAAAATGCAAAATATACATTAGCAAAGATTCATATGAATAATTCGATTTTATTATTTATTTATTTATCTGAACACATAAATACTGGTACAAAGGGGTACCACACAAGTCACTTGATTGGTGTGTGGTCTACGACACTGTCCGAGTGCCCAGACCGAAGCAGTTGGTTCTCTTACAGGGGAAGGCCATTCTACGAGCCTTCGACTTGAAGTTCGAATCTATGAGGTAGTGGAGTAACGTCAAGAGATACAGTTCTCTGGCAATTAGTGATCAATAATAGATCAATAATACATCATTTCTTCCCTCAAGATCCTGGAGCTCATGTACATCATTGATTTGAAATGAGAGTTTTCCAACTCTCCTGGGTGAATCCTCCATATCCATTAAGCCGGTTAAAGCATCTGCTAGATATTCACTTTTCGTTCTCTTCATTTCGTAAACAACACCCCTATTGCGAGACGTTAATGAGTAGAACTTCCTTAGCAGTAGTTGTATACACGTGATCATATAATACTTTAGCTTATTCCAAGTTATATTTCTTTGTATACTTCATACTGTAATACTTTTTCTTATCTAGTACATTCTATCAATTATGTAATAATCAAATGAAACCATAATATATAATTATTTAACTTCATTATCATAATAGAGATTGATCGATAGGATATAATAAATACTAAAAACGAGGCTTATAAAATTTAACCCTGGATGATATATGGTTCTCCTGAGAAACGGGATTCATTTGAAAGTCTAAATGATGTCCGGTTCTCCTGACAACCCATTTAAAATTATCCTAGCCTATAGTTATATAATATACTCTTGTGGGCCAGGGTAATATTACATTGATTATCAGGAGAACCAGACACTGTCCAGACTTTCACGTGACAACCCGAACAGTATAGCTCAACCACGTTGAAAAGGAGATACCGCTCAGGCTTATGTTTTATAAACCGAGCAATACATATTAATCCCGCTTTACAGAGGAACCAGACACCGTATAGGCTTTAACGCTACAATCCGAGCAGTGCAGCTCAATCCTAGCCAATAAGGGTATATGATATAACTGTAAAACTAAGCAAATAATAACATAGTTTGATTGGCCAAGTAGTATAATACATATTTCTCTTATTAATACATGGATATTATTAACATTGCCCTTAGTTTTCTTTTCCAACTTAACTATTATTCACTATAGTTACATTATGTAATAAGGAATCAATAATCAGATTTCTCTTTTTTTTCTTTTTCTTCTTTATATCTTTATATAAATAAAGAAAAATACTACTTATCTATGCAATGAAACTATTCACTGATAATCTAATATACATGAATTTAATTAATTGGCTTCCTCTCTTTTTCTTTCTCTCGCTCCCTCTTGCTCTACCCCCCCCTTTCTTGAAATATTGTTCTTCACGTGTTGCTGTACCTAGTAACAATAGTTACATGTTCAATTGAAAGGAGATTATCTATTTTACATCTTTCATTTTTTTACGATCTATTTGTTAGGGGGGGATAGGGGGTGGGGTGGGGATGGGGGTGGGGGAAAATTGAAAATCAGTAAATATTGAAGAAATATTTTATATTTTATTTAAAATGTACCCTAATAAAAGACAATTTCAAACAGAGATAAAAATAGTTATTCAATTTTTTAATAATTCACTATCTGATATCATTTCATGGTTTAAAACAGAAAACTTTTTATCAGTATAGAGTTGTGCAGATTATTAAGTTTTTGATTAAGATCATGAACCGATTGATGTTAGATCAACATTGAAAACCTGGAAGTATTGGACAGTCGTCTTAGTTCGTCCTGCATCCACTGGGACTCGAACCCTGGGCCTTCGGTCTAGCATGTGAACGCTTAACCTCTAGACAATTGAGCTGGCCGGCATCCAATGGTGTTAATGTCTAACCTCAATCAATCTAAGAAATTGCGTGACCATCTTAAATTGTACTGAGGTAGATACCTTTCTGTACCCGATACAGGCCATGGGTTCGAACACTGTGAGCGGGATCATGTATGCTCAATGCTGAGGAGTCCTACAATAAGACGAAACGGTCGTCCAACGCTTTCAGGTTTTCAATAGTGGTCTAACATCAATCTTTTCTTGATCTCAATCAAAAAAATTTAAAAAGTTCCTTTTTAAAATAATTTACAATTCATATAGGTTCTCATTAAATTGTAGAAAGAATTGTTTAAAGTAAATCAGAACATGTTCAAAGGATAAATACCAACAAATAGTGAATATCAGTTTTTTATCACTGACCATATTTCGGTCCATCAGAGTGCCTGGTACCTGTGTAGTTGCGTCATAGGATTGAACTTTACTACTCAGATTGTAGCGTTAGAGCCTATACGGTGTCTAATTCTCTTGTGAAGAGTGATTGAGCTCTACTGCTCGAGTTATAAAATTTAAGCCTGGATAGTGTCTGGCTCTCCTGAAAAACGGGATTGAGCTGTACTGTTTGGGTTGTCTGGTTCTCCTGAAAACCAATGTAAAATTACCCTTGCTCACAAGGGTATATTATATAACTTTTATTATATATATATTGTGGATACTGATTAACAATGTTTTATGTTCTATCGTACATTCCGGTCACTATAGCTTATCGGATAGCTGTAGGGCCAAAGATCTTGTCTAGATAGGGATATGTGGACGGTAAGATTAGTTATATAGTTCACCAATTCTTAATATATACCGACTATGTCATGTTAGTATCATGCGATCGTTTCGGAATCTCCAATAAGTCAAAATGGAATTCTAGACAATAGTTTTGTTCTACGTTGGACTTGGATAAAATGCAATCGAATGGTACATACAGGTTATTTCAAAGGATTCACCCAAACAATCCATATGGTAGGGGTAAGAAAATTCAAACAATAACAGTGAATAATAATCGAATGTTGTAGCTAATCATTCTCATGTATAATGCTGTACAGTTTGGAACGAAAGGTATTTAATTCACATCTCACTATGAATATCAACACTGGAATGCAAGTAAATCTATCCAACTTATCTAGAATAGAATAAAAAATTGATGTCCTGAATTCCGCCATTAATAGTTATTTAAAAATTTGGTCAACATCGTAGCTAAAGTGAATAGTGCGGTGTCCGATTATTCCCATGTATTGGTAGAGAAAGTAAGATGTGATTAACCACTAAGAAGTGGACAGAGAGACATCCAGCTTAGATAAAATGGTGGTTGAAGATAGTCCAGAGGAAACCCTGGACCCAGGTTTCATGCTACCTGACACTCATCAGCAAGGTATGCCTGCAATCTCGAGGGAACCAATACTCCCTTGCGGGTTCAATTCCATGTCACCCAGTTTCACAGTTAGAGACGTTACCCCTAGGCCATCCGGACCCCGACTGACCTGATACACATGACATTAATCACGATACAATGATCAATCAACTGTGAATACATTTTAGTCCTACAGAAGGCCAGTCGTGGCCCGGATAGCCCAATGGTAAAATCTCTACCTGTGAAGCTGGGTGACATGGAATCTAATCCCCATGGTAATACTTGTTCCCTCGAGATTACAGGCACACCGTGCTGACGAGTGTCAGGTAGCATGAAACCTGCGTCTAGGGTTTCCTCTGGATTACCTTCAACCACTATCTTATCTCAACATAGTGCACGCAATGTCGATTCATCTAGACTAATGGCCACATTGCAACTTGGTCGATAGCATTCGATCTGTACTGAGAAGGACCTAACATATATGACATTGATCCCCACCCAGTGATCAATCAATTGTGAAGACATTCAGCCTACTAATATGTGATTTTCTTTCCTATGATTGATAGCTACTTTTGACTTACTGAGTATAGACTATTTTCATTTGTGTTAAGTAAAGTACTGTTTAGCTTGTATTCTAGTTCTCTCATTTTTTTTATGATTTATATATTTGATATATTATGATCCAGTTCATGTATAGCTTGTTCTGTTTTTATTCAACATAAAATCCACATAGATACTGATTAAATACAGTGTTCTACAGTATTCTATTATCCATTATATGTCTTATCAGTGTAGACAAAAATGTGAAATCTTATAGAATTAAAATACAAATTACATAGTGATCTTTTTGTAAGCAATGATGAATAGTGGCTAGCAGTGGAATCGAGAACGTGAGTTTCGTCCTATGTGGGACTCGTCAGATGAATGTACTTGTATCCCAAACTTGTTGATGTTCACATCGGGACTAGAACCTAGTAACGTTCGCTTCAAATGTAATAGCGCCATTCACTCAGCTACTGAGCCCTGATATCCACTTGCTTGTACAATGTGGTGAAGTTTAAATTCACTTAGTATTGTTTACTTGAATCTTTCCATTGATGTTTAGGACTGTAATTGATCATGTCTTGTTTCGATTTGGGCAGTCGGGCAATATCACAGCCCACACACAGTTCAAGAAACTTGTGTGGCGTATATTTATTTGATTCTCAATTGTACCAATATTTATATGTTCAAATAAATAATTGATCAGTCTCTTATTAAATAACACGATGGCGTTTGAAGCAAACGAAATTGGGTTCGAGTCCCAGAGTAAACACCAACTCTGAGATGAAGGTACATCCAGCTGATGAGTCCCAAATAGGATGAAACGCTCGTCAAACTGGATTCTACTGCTACCGACTATCCATCTTTGCTTATAATGTTTGTGATTTAAGGGAATATCGAAACAATCCGTACAGGATACACATATGTCAATAAGACACTGATCAACTACAGTACAAAATATCAATGGAAAGATTCAAGTTCGCAACAATACCAACTGAATGGTCTTAATATGTATTAGATATTACCATTTATTCACAATGTTATAGCCTAATTGAACCATATCTATCAGATCATTCTGTACGTGACAAATTTAAAGATAAATATCTTTTTTTTTTCGGAATCATGGGATTTAGTCATCCATCAACCTTTCGGTTCTTTACATCATCATTACAAATTACAATCCATTATATATATATATAAACATACATAACATGAAAGTAAACGATGTCAATTATAAAGCACATGATTATGGAACAATACATGATAAATAGTTTAGTCAAAGTTTAATCATTTCAATCATTCACAATTAGGATCTTTCATGGCATTGATTACAAAGTTCTTAGATCTTCGAATGAATACAACGAAACTATAATTTATGGATGAATCAATCAGATTTAGGATAACCGATCTTGGATTTTGGCACGAAATTCATGCATTCATTCATTCATTCATTCATTCATTATAACTAATATCAGTTGGTGATGGGAAACCCTCAAATCTAATTCCTAACCCATTAATCATCAACTGTAAAATATAATTCTAATTCTTCAAATTGGTTTATAATCCTTATTTGATCCTAGTTGTTAGGTGGAGAGTTTCAAGGTCAATGTAGAGTCACTCAAAGCCTGGAAGTATGAGACGGTCGTCTCATCGCAGTATGACCTCCCTCAACAGTGTGCTTTCACGATCCAGCCTCGCGGGGTTCGAACCCAGGGCCTCTGGTGTCGCGCGCTAACGCTTCACCTGTAGACCACTGATCAGGCATGTAACGGTAGTCTAGCTTAAAGCGATTCGTGAATTCAACTATTAAATTACTATATCCTCCAAAAAACGCTCTTTCTGATAATAATCATGATGTACTCACAAGTGACTGGCTTCAAGAGGTATTTCCTGGAGTTATAGTGAGATGCAGTGACCAGTGGTGTTCAACCAGGTCTGTTGCAAGATAGTAACTCGTTGAAGACAATGATGGGCGTATAGTTCAGTGACCGTCAACAAGTTTGATATGCAAGTATATCCAGTTGACGAGTCTCAACTAGGATGAAACATGCGTTCTGGACTCCACTACTAGCCATTATTCATCTTTGCTAATAATGCTTATGAATTAAGGTAATATCAAGACATTACGCATGGTATGCGCACGTCACAATAAGAGACTGATCAATTACAGTCCTAAACAACAATGGAATTTTCACGTAAACAATACCAAGTAAATTTAAGCTATTCTTCATCAATCAATTAATCAATCAACTACAACGTAAGACCAGGCACAAAGATACATCGGTCCAAGTTGCCATACCTCATTAGCACAAAAAGATTAACATAAAAGCCATAAAAGCATTTACTTCAATGTTAGTAATATATGAAAGGAAGATTGTGTTTGAAGATATAATGCAGAAAGAAAAAACTAGTTGATAGAAATTAAGGTATAAAACAATTTTAACTTCATAGTTTGAGGGAAGACTAAGAGTATATACAATTATACCATTGTGATCGATTCTGAGTCATGTCACCAAGAGTCTCCAAGCATTGGTTAAGAGAGTCACTCCAACCTCAACCAAGTAATGTACATCTACCATCAAGATGACTCAAACTACAAGTTGGTGCCTTCAAGCACTGATACCACGTTTTGATTTGGCCATTACATTACTACTACTACTACAACGACGATGACTACGTCTACTACCAATACTAATTATGATAATAATAATAATAATAATAATAATAATAATGGTAATAATAATACAGTCACTACTTACTTACTATTACTCACCATGTCTATTTCTATTAAATAATTTTTCATTATTTTCAAGCCAATTAGCCGTAGCAGTAGTAGTAGTGATAGCAGAGCTAACATGTTTCCAATCATCATCATCATCCTCATTTTGTATTTTTGTTTTTTTATTTATTAAAATTTTTCTACGTTTTTTCATTTTATTTAATAAATCATTTGCTTTTTCATACATAGATTCAATCGTTTCATAATTCAATGATTGTTTCTCTATATTGTTCAATGGTATATTCATATTAGTAGTCGTATTATTATCATTACTATTACTGTTACCATGGTGATCGACAACTTGTAGACGACATATTGGGAAATTTGTATTAGGGATTATCTTATTTGATCTTACTGTTTCTAACATGTTAACTTATTATATTCATTAATTATATCATCAACAAACAATGAATATAGTTTCTATGTATGAAATGAATAGTTTCCTGTTATATATGATAATGTATTATTATTATTATTATCAGTAGTAGTAGTAGTAGTAGTAGTAGTAGTATATAAGTAGTATAAAGACACTTTATAATAGTCAATGTTTATATATTAATGTAAATCCAATTTGTTTTAATGAATAAATTAAGTTTATCCATTATTTATTTTATAGATCCTATATTCATATGGAATATGTTCATGACAGGCCTTTATTCTTCCATGACGGGTAAACAGACGTAGGTAGGTAAGTCAGTAGGTAAGTACATTCTTCATTGAATGAAAACACTCTTCCAAGTACATTTAACAAATCATAATGAAATATATTTTATTATTGTCATCTATATATACATATATACATAAATATTAAATTTAAATTATATCCACCACCAACACCACAACCACCACCACCTACTACTATAAATTAACCAATCAAATTTATTTCATTAAAACACTTGCCCACATATTAATTGATCCCATATTTCCCATTTACATGAAGGGTGTGAATAATGTGATATAACTAAATATAGTCATGTCACTTGTTTAAAAATAAGTAATTTTATTTGGGAAATTAGATATGTGGCTTATATTATACTGGTAGTTGAATGTAATTTATTGTAATTTTTCCCTCTTTAACCTAAAATACCACTTACTTACTTACTTAATTACTTACTTACTGACTGACTGACTAACTGACTAACTGACTAACTGACTAACTGACTTACTTACTTACTTACTTACTTACTTACTTACTTACTTACTTACTTACTTACTTACTTACTTACTTACTTACTTACTTACTTACTTACTTACTTACTTACTTACTTACTTACTTACTTACTTACTTACTTACTTACTTACTTACTTACTTACTTACTTACTTACTTACTTACTTACTTACTTACTTACTTACTTACTTACTTACTTACTTACTTACTTACTTACTTACTTACTTACTTACTTACTTACTTACTTACTTACTTACTTACTTACTTACTTACTTACTTACTTACTTACTTACTTACTTACTTACTTACTTACTTACTTACTTACTTACTTACTTACTTACTTACTTACTTACTTACTTACTTACTTACTTACTTACTTACTTACTTACTTACTTACTTACTTACTTACTTACTTACTTACTTACTTACTTACTTACTTACTTACTTACTTACTTACTTACTTACTTACTTACTTACTTACTTACTTACTTACTTACTTACTTACTTACTTACTTACTTACTTACGTACTTACTTACTCACTTACTTACTTACTTACTTACTTACTTATGCCTGTCACTCCTCATAGAGGAGCACAGACCTCTAACAAGTATTCTCTATCAAACTCTGTTCTGAGCAATCTCTTCTATCCAATTCTTGTCCATTCTTATCATGTCTCTCTTCATTTCTCTGCGTAATGTGTTCTTTCGTCTTCCTCTTCTTATTTGACGTCGAGAATCCCATATGAGGGTTTGCATTGTGATGCAGTTGGGCGGTTTCCTCAATATGTGTCCTAATCACTTCCAGTGCTTCTTCCTGATTTCTTCCTCCGCTGGGATCTGATTTGTTCTCTCTCTCTTAAAGTAGGTTGTTGCTAATAGTGTCCGGCCAACAGATCCGAAGTATTTTTTGTAGACTATTGTTAATAAACACTTGTATCTTCTGGATGATGGCTTTCGTAGTTCTCCAAGATTTCGCCCCATACAGTAGAACTGTGTTGACATTTGTATTGAAAATTCTGATTTTGGTGTTGGTTGACAGACAGTTATTTTGAGTTCCAGATATTCTTCAATTGTAGATAAGCTACTCTTGTTTTACCGATCCGCGCCTTCACATGTGCATCAGATCCACCATGTTCATGAATGATGCTTCCCAGATATGTAAATGTTTTTACATCTTCCAAAGTTTCTCTGTCAAATGTGATTGGTGCTCGCTGTTTTGTATAGGAGAATCTTGCATTTCCCTCTGTGTATGTTGAGACCTATTGCTGCTGAGGCTGCTGCTACACTGGTCGTGTTCTCCTGTATTTGTTGTTGCATGTGCAATAGAAGATACAGATCATCTGCGAAGTATGTTTAAGTGAACTCTAATATCCACTGTACAATCCTAGTGATGATGTGCAGGCATTGTGTAACTTTTCCCCCATACATCATTGATCGATCATCAGGAGAAAAAGATATGTAAAACATTTCACATCCATCAAAGTTTCTCCGTCAAGTATGATTCAATTGATGTTTGTTGTATTGTATAGAAGAATCTCATTTTTCTCCGTTGATATGCTTAATATTATATAAAATACAAAATAATATAATTAACTAAACTAAGTATATAAATTATGAACATTGATCATCATTTTGGATTATCTCCTTCCAAGATTTAGGATAAATACAACCTATTATGTAATTTAAATCTTTCTGGTTAGCGTTTATTTAGCGAATTAGTTTTCTACGAGATGGGGTCACTAACCCCAATGCCCAATCCTCCTCCTTTATCCGGGCTTGGGATCGGCAGTAGCCCCTGGAGGGACTTTAAGCAAGACAAGCCCTCATATGGAATCCTCAAGGCCAAAAGAAAAGAGGAAGACCAAAGAATACATTAAGCTGGGAAACGGAGATAGACACGAGAAAAATGAACAAGAATTGGATGAAACTAGAAAAGAAGGCCCATGACAGAGTGGGTTGGAGAATGGTGGTCGGCGGTTTATGCTCCTCCATTGGGAGTATGTAATTTAAAGTTTCAATTAAACAAGAAAGGGGATTACATAGTTTTGATTGATGATTAACTGACTAGTTATTTCAATAACAGAGTAGATTGTGTAATCAAATTATTTCAATAACATAGTAACTAATTTATTGATTTCTATGTGAACCTCTTCATTATCATTAATATTAAACCTAATTCAGTATTGATTAGGCATAAATCACATTCATATCTTACGATGAGTATTATTAACATAGTTGGAATTAATGAAGTTCTAGTCTAATCAACTCGAACCGATCTATAATAACAGTAAAATGGTTATTTGATAATCATTATCAGTGTGTAATTGTTGAATATTTGATATATGCAAATATATATATTATAACAGTTGAATTCATGATTCCATCTAAGTGATACTATCATTGAAAACTTGAAAGCATTGGATGGCCATCTCGTTCTAATATCGGACTTCTCAATAATCTCACACTAAAGGGACTCGAACCCAGGACCTTACTTACGCCTGTTACTCCTCGTAAAGGAACATAAGCCGCTCACCAGCATTCTCCATCCAACACTGTTCTCAACAATCCTTTCCATCTCATTCCAGTTGTTATTCATCCTTTTCATATCTGATTCTATTTCCCGACGTAATGTGTTCTTTGGTTTTCCTCAGCATCATCATCATCCAAATCATCCAAAGCATCATCATCATCATCATCATCCAAAGCATCATCCAAAGCATCATCATCATCCAAATCATCCAAAGCATCATAATCATCCAAATCATCCAAAGCATCATAATCATCATCATCATCCAAATCATTCAAAGCATCATCATCCAAATCATTCAAAGCATCATCATCATCAACTTCGTCATCTCAATAATAATAATAATAATAATAATCATCATCAACAACAACATCATCATCATCATCATCATCACCATCTCAATCATCATCATCATCATTCAAATCTTCATCATCACCATCATCAACCAAATCATCATCATCATAATCATCCAAATCATCATCATCCAAATCATCCAAAGCATCATCATCATCCAAATCATCCAAAGCATCATCATCATCCAAATCATCCAAATCATCATCTTCAATGGTTATGATTATTATTTTGTTTGTATACTCTATAAGATAAACATTAAAAGGTATTTCATTATAATATTCTTTGTATTTAAATAAATGTAACTATTGGATTATTCATAATTTGTTATAAATATCTTTGTGTATGTATAGTTCTATGTATATCCATATGAGTGCTGGTAGTGGTTGCTGTGGTTGTTGTGGTTGCTGTGGTGGTGATGGTTGCTGTTGTTGTTGTCATACATTCATTAATTTTAACCTGAAGCCATAACATTCCATTCCTTTATCAATATACATTATTGTATCTATCTATATACATACATGCATACATATTTTCTATGAAAAAGAAAACATTCTGTACTCATTTTTGTTTAAATCAAATATGCCGTTTATCGATTAATACTTATCATTTCTCTAATTATGTATCTAATCAAGTTTTGTTATATTGTTTTTAATGAATGAATGAATGAATGAATGAATGAATGAAAATAGTAGAATAGTAACCCCTGAATGAATATGTAAGTCCATTTTTGTCAGTGTAATTATATTCATATTGTAATTAATCAATAAATCGATTATATTGGTTGAAATCATGAATCCATTGAAGCTAGACCACCATGGAAAACCTGGAAGCACTGGACGGCTGTTTCGTCCTAGTATGGGACTCCTCAGCAGTGCGCATCCACGATCCCGCTCCTCGCGAGATTCGATTATTTCTTTTCGATTGAAATCATGAATTGATTACTGTTAGATAATCATTGAAAGCCTTAAAGTATTGAATAGCCATCTAGTCCTAGTATGGAACTGTTCAGTAATGCACATTTATGATCTTAGTTGAAGGATTCTGATGTTAAACATTAAAATTATTGGGTGACAACCAGTTCAGGGATCTAGAAGTTAAGCATTTGTGTGCTAGACTAAAGGACCTAGATTTAAATGTGTCATATGGGATCGTAAGTGTGAATTGCTAAAGAATCTCATACTAGGACGAAACAGGCATGCAGTGTTCTGAGTTTTTTTCATGGGGATCTAGCTTTAATTGACTCATAAATACACCTATTAATGGAGTTTTGTTCTCTGAACTGAATGGTTTGGTCATGGAGTTTTCATCATTCTTCTGAACGATATCATCAGCACAAACTTGAGATAGAAGAACGATGAAAGTTCCACGACCAAACCATCCAGATCAGAGAACAAAACTCTATCAAAATCATCCACCTGAGCTACAAATCTTCTCCACCATCTCAACAACTATT